GCCGCACCTCCATCTCCTACCGACCAACCTCATCCCGCCCCCTTGACCTGTCCGTCCTCCCTGGACTGACCTATCCCCTTCCTAACTCCCTACCTACACTCACCTTTACTGGCCCCATCCCCGCCTCTTCGACCTGTTTGTTTCCTCTCCACCTATCCTCTCCTCTATCCCTCTTCTATCCGCCTCCCACTCTCTCCCTATTTATTTCAAAACCCCCTTCCCCTCCCCCTTTTCTGATGAAGGGTCTAGGCCCGAAACGTCAGCCTCTCTGCTCCTATGATGCTGCTTGGCCTGCTGTGTTCATCCAGCCCTGCACCTTGTTGTCTCAGATTCTCCAGCGTCTGCAGTTCCTACTATCTTGTGAAAATTCAGCCAGCTTTATTTCAGCAAAAGTGGATGATTTGGATTGAGGTAAAATCACGCTCTTAACCTTTTTTTTCCCCCAAAACTTGTGCTTTTATATCCTTTCTGCAACTCTGGAGCCCAGAGTTAGGTGGGAACAAGAGGAGGCCATTTTCACCCCTCAAGGCTGCTTCACTGTTCAATAAGAACATGGCTGCCATGAGATTTAACTCCATCTTTGCCTCATATATCTTTGGCTAAATAAAGATCTTTCTGTCCTGGATTTAGAGTTAACAAATGGTCTAGCCTCAATTGCTGGTTCTGTGATAAGAACAGAAGTAGGCCATTCAGCCCATCGAGTTTGCTCCACCATTCAATGCGATCATGATCGATCTGATCATCCACTTTCCTGCCTTTTCCTCATAACTCTCAATTCCCTTCCTGATTAAGGCCTCTCAGCCTTGAATATACTGAACGACCCAGCCTCAACAGCCCTCTGTGGTAAAGAATTCCACAGATTCACTCCCCTCTGAGAGAAGAAATTCCTCCTCATCTCTGTCTTAAATGGGCAACCCCTTATTCTGAGATGATACCCTCTGGTCCTAGACTCTCCCACAAGGGGAAACAACCTCTCCACATCTCCCCTGTCAAGTCCCTCTGAGAATATTGCATGTTTCAATAAGGTCACCTCACATTCTCTTTAGACAGTTCCAAATTCCTGCCACACTTGTATGTAGAAACATTGAAACATAGAAACTAGGTGCAGGAATAGGCCATTCAGCCCTCAAGCCTGTACCATAATTCATTATGATCACGGCTGATCATCGAACTCAACCCCCTGTACTGACTTTCTCGCCATACCCTTTGAGCCCCTAAGAACTATAATCAAACTCCATCTTGAAAAGATTTATTATTTTGGCCACAAACGCTTTCGGTGGCAGAGAATTTCCCAGGCTCATCACTCTCCCAGTGAAGACATTTCTTCTCATCAGTAGTTCCTCATTTTGCTTCTGCAATGCCTGGTCCTAGTTTTTAGATTGTAGCCCCAAGTCATAGACTGCCCAAATTTTGGAAGTAGTTATTGTCAATCTTCCCTGTCTGTTGTAATTAATATCTTGAAAACTTTGTTCAAATCACTGATCTGTGTAATTGACTGTTATTTGGTGATGAGGGGCAGTGGAGGCAGAGCTAATGAAAGGAAATCACCTTTCTCTTGTCATTAAGGGTCTGTACTCGTGGCAGTGATGAAAAAGTGACAAATGAAGTAAAAGACAGAGGGTGGTGGTGGAGGGTTGCTTTTCAGACTGGCGGCCTGTGACCAGCGGTGTGCCTCAAGGATCGGTGCTGGGTCCACTGCTTTTTGTCATTTATATAAATGATTTGGATGTGAACATAGGGAGGTACGGTCAGTGAGTTTGCAGGTGACACCAAAATTGGAGGTGTAGTGGACAGTGAAGAAGGTTACCTAAGAGTACAACGGGACCTTGATCAGATGGGCCAATGGGCCGAGGAGTGGCAGATGGAGTTTAATTTAGATAAATGTGAGGTGCTGCATTTTGGAAAGGCAAATCAGGGCAGGACTTATACACTTAATGGTAAGGTCCTGGGGAGTGTTGCTAAACAAAGAGACCTTGGGGTGCAGGTTCATAGTTCCTTGAAAGTGGAGTCGCAGGTAGGCAGGGCGGTGAAGAAGGCTTTTGGTACGCTTGCCTTTATTGGTCAGTGCATTGAGCATAGGAGTTGGGAGGGTCATGTTGCGGCTGTACAGGACATTGGTTAGGGCCACTTTTGGAATACTGCGTTCAGTTGTGGTCTCCCTGCTATAGGAAGGATGTTGTGAAACTTGAAAGGGTTCAGAAAAGATTTACAAGGATGTTGCCAGGGTTGGAGGGTGTGAGCGATAGGGAGAGGCTGAATAGGCTGGGGCTATTTTCCCTGAAACATCGGAGGTTGAGGGGTGACCTTATAGAGGTTTATAAAATCATGAGGGGCATGGATAGGGTAAATAGACAAGGTCTTTTCCCTGCGGTGAGGGAGTCCAAAACTAGAGGGGCATAGGTTTAAGGTGAGAGGGGAGAGATTTAAAAGGGACCTAAGGGGCAACTTTTTCACACAGAGGGTGGTGCGTGTATGGAATAAACTGCCAGAGGAAGTGGTGGAGGCTGGTATCTGGATGGATACATGAGGAGGAAGGGTTTAGAGGGATATGGGCCAAATGCTGGTAAATGGGACTAGATTAATTTAGGATATCTGGTCAGCATGGACGAGTTGGACTGAAGGGTCTGTTTCCGTGTTGTATATCTCTATGACTCTATAAGCACATTTGCAAAATTTGAAATTGCTGGAGAAACTCAACAGGCCTGGCAGCGAGAGAGAAATAGAGTCAGCATTTCAAGTCTAATATGATCCTTCTTCAGCATTTCAGTTCTGCATAAGTTATATTGAATTTCAAAGGTTAACTCTCATTTTTCTCTCTTCACAGATGCTGCCAGACCTACTGAGTTTCTCCAGCAATTTCTGTTTTGTAATTCAGATTGCCAACGCCCTCATTGTTTTGCTTCCATTATACTTCCAAATCCAGCAATTTCCTCACAATGTTGTCTCCTTTCCCTGACAGGACTCTGGGGCTTGGTCAACAATGCAGGGAGAGCCATTCCCATTGGCCCAACAGAATGGATGAAGATGGAGGATTATTTGAAAGTGTTGAATGTGAATTTGATTGGATTGATGGAGGTGACGCTGACCTTTCTCCCATTGGTTAAGAAGGCCAGGGGCCGGGTCGTGAACGTGGCTAGTATTCTGGGGAGGATATCGCTTGTAGGTGGCGGCTACTGCCTCTCCAAATGTGGAGTGGAGTCTTTTTCTGACAGTCTGAGGTGAGCTTTTCCATTCCTGTTTACTGCTGTCTGCACAGTCAGAACAGAAAGATTTTGCATACCTGTCATTTGTATATCACACCAACCAGGCAGAAATGTCCTTGCATTTCAGCGCAAAAGCACTCTGACCTGTCTCATTATAAGTAGTCCTTGTCGACAAATGAGAAATTTGTCTCGACAACTCGCTTTCAGGTTTATTTAGGCTGTGGCGCAACGGTAATATCATTGGGCTAGTAATTCAGAACCCCAGGCTAATGTTCTCAGGACTGGGTTGAAATCCCACTGGGGCTGATGGTGGCATCTTGATTCAGTAGCAATCTGGAATTAAAAAAAGGCTAAAGGTGACCAGTGTCCGTTGTTGGAAAAAAAAACCCATCTGGGTCACTAATGTCCTGTTTTGGCAAGGAAACTGCCATCCTTAGCTGGTCTGGGCCTACATGTGACTCCAGACCCACAGCAATGTGATTGACTCTTAACTGCCCTCTGGGCAATTAGGGATGGTGAATAAACGCTAGCGACACCAACATCCCATGAATGAATAAAAATGTTTAAAATATTTTACCCATTAATGCTGATCATTTCAAGGCCATTGTCACTAGATTCCCTCCATTTGGATGGTGTTTGTCAAGGCCCAGTTGGTAGCTCTCTCACAGCTATGTTGGAACGTTGCGTTCTTAATTTCCTCTTGGGTGAATCGAACACAATGTCTGGCCAACACTGCAGCACTGAGCGAAGTGCCTGGGTAAAGTTTTTGGGTGAGGACTGCAGTGATATGTAATGCATTGCATCTCTGCATTCTGCCTGGTCAGACCTCTTGGGTGCTCCCCGATGTTTATCACTCCCCTGTCCATGGCCACGCCTTCAGCTGGCGGGGACCCTCAGCTCCAGAATCCTCTGCCATAAAAACTTTCCCACTCTGAGTCGCCCCTGGAAACCGACCTGTCTGCCACCTGACCCGATCTCCCAGAACGCGAAGCATCTTGGAACTTTTGCACTGCATTTAAAGGCGCTATATAAATGCAAGCAGCTGTTCAAAAGTGCGTATGTGTAGTTAAAAGGATATTATCAGTTTCAGAACTACCCCGTGAGAGAGAAAAATATCATTTCCTCATCTCTGTCTTAAATGGGCACCCCCTTATTTTTAAACGATGACCCCACGTTCTAGATTCTCCCACAAGAGGAAACATCCTTTCCACATCCACCCGGCCAAGTCCCCTCAAGATTTTATATGTTTCAATTAAGTCACCTCTGACTCTTCTTAGCTCCAGAGGATACAGGCCCAGCCTTTCCTCATAAGGCAATCCGCTTGTACCAGGTATTAGTCGAGTAAATCTTCTCTGAACTGCTTCAAACACATTAACGCCCCTCTGTACATACAGTGTCCGCTCCTGTACACTATTCCAGATGTGGTCCTGTATAACTGAAGCGTAACCTCCCTACTCTTGCATTCAATTCCCCTCACAATACAATATTCTATGAGCTTTCCTGTTCACTTACATTTCCATTGTCTTGTTTTTTTGTTGCCTTAGACGGGACATGCGTCACTTTGGTGTCCACGTCTGCATCATTGAGCCTGGCTTCTTCAAGACAGCTGTGACAAACCTGGAAGGCATTGAGAATGACTTGCAGCGTCTGTGGGACAGATTGTCTCCTGAAGTCCGCGAGAGTTACGGGCAGAATTACTTCGCAAAGTGTAAGTAGCTTTCATAGTTCAGCCTGACCATACCAACTGTGCGGTGACCCTGAGCATCAGAATCCTCTTCAGGAGTTGAGTGAAGTTCAGCAGCTGGCATGAGAGAGGGGATCCTCCTGTTGGAGATAGGCTGCCTCCCAGAGGGTGAGCACAAAATGACATTGCGTTACAAAGAGGCTTTGTTCTTTTCATGTTCTAGGTTAGTATCGTAGGATTGAACATCCTATCTTTTACTCTTCTCTTATGCACAATCTTGGATGACCACACTTGAGTAGTGAGGCCAGTCGTTGCCCCTGGGGTTAAAGTGAGTCAATGTGGGGACTGAATGCAAGACTTGACTCGCATTCATGCCATTCAGTGCCACACTGCCCTTGTCAACTGTGGCACCTTGGCGGCTGGATGGACTGCCCCCACCCCCAAGTTTGTGTGGCTGAGAGCGTCTCTCTCGGATTGGCTGTTCTTGTTGCTATAGCCCATCAAGAGATGA